TTTTTTTGTGAGTTGTTGTTTAAGATGGTGTTCTTTTACCTTGGTTGGTTGCCTATCCAATCAAGGTGGGGTTTGTTTCCACCCAAAAATAACCATTTTACCTTTATCTTTTTTTATTATTAATTATTTGAACATTATTGAATTAATTATTAACGTTTTAATTAATTAATTAATTTTTAATTAATAAAGTTAAAACATTTTCTTCTTTTTCTTTTTTAAAACTAAATCAAGTTTTTCAATGCATGGTGAAGATTATGAATTTTTGATGAAATTTTTTAGCGTGTTCTTCGATTTCATCCGATTTCGATCMGGGCACGCTTGAGTTCGGAGTTGTGTTAACYTTGGAGAGCAACCAACGTACGATTTAGCACTGTGGTCGTGTCGAAATTGCTTTCAAGRCAGTGGTTCAACAACGATGCAACAATTGTTTTCTATCTAATTTCTCAATCAATTCCAACAACATGCTTATCTTAACTCTAGGGAGAGAAGAAATCTAAAAACAAAAACAAAAAAAGAAAGAAAAAAAAGCTTTAGTGAGAAAAAATAGTAAATTATAGTTCTTTTATTCTCTTGTGACTTTCCTACTACGCATATCCTTAACCAAGTGGTCCCAATCAATGTATTTTTTAGAGAATTCTCAATTACAAATTTTATTTATTTATTGTTTAATCAAGTGATTCCGTAAAATAACTTGTTACTGGGAAAAATGAGTTACTATTAAGTTATTAGTTAGATTAATAAATTTGAACAGATAAGGAATGATGGTCATGTAAACTTTTCTTTTTTTAGTACCATATATGAATATGCGAATTCGAAGTCACCRTTCTTTTTTGGAAAATTTAAGTAAGTGACTAAATTTGGACACACAGTTAAAGAAAATGTCTATTTGTTTATAATTTTAAAAAAATRGTTAAAAGATATATTTGGAATGTTACATTTTTAGTTTTTCCCCACAATGCCCTCACTATGTTTTTTAGAATTTACAAGTATTTTAACAATTCAACAAACTTCGTTCAATTCAAATTTTGTTCCCTACTTTCAAGGGATTTTATCCTAATTATTTTAATTATTTTACTAGGAAATTCAGTTAATTTAAACGATTACCAATGTTCCACGATTCCCATCTCACCATTTGATTATTTTCATCAGATTTTGTATCATACTTATTATCAAAATCATAAGGTCAGTAAATGTATATACCAGTTGATGAAAACCAAAATTAGAATACAATTCACATACATATCACCATGCAGCTCAATCATCCAAATTAAAACGTCTATATATGTATATACTAATTATTCAACCATTAACGAAAACATGAAAATTAATAGATGTATATATCAATTCAAGAAACAACCAAAAAGTAATAACTGAATACATCTATTTACTGTCGTACAACTAAAATATCATAAATATAAAASTAGTACATGTATATCCTAATAATTAAAACGTCTATATATATGTATGTACTAATAATTTTAATAAAACATGAAAGTCAACAGATATATATATCAATTCATGAACAAAATAWGAAAGTCAATAGATCTATTGACTACTGCTAGTACATGTATATCTCAATAATTACCTAGCTCTTCCTCAACTATTTTGARACACTTTTATTTTCCCTGAAACATAAAAGTAGAATTAGCTTAGTAAATATAATTTTTAAATATTACTATTCAACACAAACATACATTGAGTTTGTAGATTCCTTACAACCCAAATTCTTTTTAGGGTCAAGTTTAGTCTGTTTTGTTTTACCTTCGATTAAGTCTCCCTCACCCCTCTTTTTGCTGGTCTCCTTCACATTGGAGTCTCTCCCTGAGTCTTTGATGATTCAATCTGTACATATAAAGATAAAACATCTATGAGATGATTTTTTAAAAAACAAACAAGTCATATATAAATTGTTGCATCTATACCTCTTCTTCACTGTCTAAGTTGATTGTGCTCGTTTCTCTTTGACACCTTGTAATTCCAGCCTTTTAATCGAGTTATTCCTCCTCTAATTTTAACTATCTATAGATTTTATTTGGTTTTTAATTTACTTAAATATAATATATTTGTTAGAGATAAATACATATACTCCTGAAATTTGGTTATTAACAACACTAATGGTAGGTCCCACATTTATATATTTTTAAAAATACACCTGAAATTTAGGAAGATAAAAAATATCTTTTTAAATTAAGTTTTATAGACAAATCAGAACAAAGATTTTACCTCCCTCAAACAGTCGGAGTAATGGGCAACGATGACCGGTTTTAGTCTGTGGTGAGAGGGTCGAATCTGGTTTGGACAGATCAAGTAAACGTTGCATTCTGGGCGACTGCGATCAGCGTGAAGGAACGAGGGGCGGCGGTGCAGCGGCGGTGCGGCTGCAGGTTGGGTGAAGTGGCGGTGGGATGGGCGATGCGGGGGCGATTGCGTTCGACGTGAAGGAACGAGGGGCAGACGACGTGGCGACAAGAGGGAGAGCAGCGATGTGAAGTAGTAAGGGCCGACATTCAGCGTTCGATGTTGATGGGGTGACATCGTTTGACAGCATCCGACGTGGATGGAGGGTGGCTGAGGGTTGGGGTGTCGGTGAATGTTGGATTGTTGGACGACGGAGGTTCTGCAAATGAAGATGGAGGCAAAGTTGGGSAGTGGTGGAAGTTCTAGGGGTTGGATTGTTGGAGGCAGGGTACTGTCCAAAACCTTGTTTTTTTTTCTATTTAAAAAAAACCAATAAAGGTAATGTTAATTTTCCTTATTTATATTTACTTCTTATTTATAAATCTTCTATTTTAAAGGGGTAAATTTCAAAATATACCTATAGTCTTATCATTTTTCAAAAATCTACTATCACATTCTAATTAGCAATTTTAAATTAGATTTAAGATAATTATTTTAATTTCATTTATTTTTTATTTGTAAATCTTCTAGTTTAAAGGAATAAATTTCAAAATATACCTTCATTATTTTAATTTCATTTATTTTTTATTTGTAAATCTTCTAGTTTAAAGGAATAAATTTCAAAATATACAGTCTTATCAATTTTTTTTAAATCTATTGTCAAATTCTAAGATTGATGATAATTTTTTAATTTCATTTACTTTTTATTAAATAAAGTTGAATCCCTATTATTACGTCGATTGTTTTTGCTATTTGTAAAAATCTTAAATCCCTAAAATTATGCATATATACTTAATTGATTACAAAAGTATATTTGTCTTAACATTTTTTTAGTATTAAAAGAAAAAAA